TGGGAGGGGATCTCAAGCCGGTCAGTCGAATCGAAGGGTGCCCATCTGCGCGTGAGCGCCCCACGTTCGGCATGAAGATCGATCGCCTACGGGATCGCCTTCCAGGATCAGCTGGGCCTGGCAGTGTGATCGCTTCCGTGATCCGACAAGCAAGCGCAGAGTCAGTCAACAGACTCGACATCAATGAGTTAGTCATGATTCGACCAGCTCCTTCAAGTCGGCTGAAGGACCATCTTGAGATGATTGTCGAATAAGGATTATTCTTCTCGTGGTGCGCTCATGCATCTGCATCTTCTTGTTTCTATTAGTTCGCCGCTTCAGCCTTGGCTGCGCCCGAGATCAGGTGCTGCGATCATGGAAAAGCCTATATCCCCCATCTTCCTTGATCCCGGTATGCCCTCATGCAATATCGCCTCTGAAGCATCATTACAGCCCGCGAAGACGCTGTGCGGCATCCGCATCCAAGTTCAGATCTCGCATTCATGTAGACAGCAATGATAATGTACCGCGAGCCTTGTTCCCGATTTGCTGGTCGCACAGACCATACGACACAATAGATAGAATGTCGGAAATATTGTGGACCATCAAGGCACGATGCTATTGTTGATGGCCACAAAGAGATGAAAGGGCTGGCTGAGTACCATGGATCGGGTCGCTGTGATTGCGCTTAAGTGAGACTTGCTCTATCTTGGACGGGCCGGAATGTGGGAGCGGTGTGACCAGCCATGGGGAATGGTCGTCATTCAAGAAATGCCAGTCGACGGGGTGAAGGTCACCACGAGAGATCCGGATGATGAAATTGAGGAGATGTTGGATTTTTCATTTCCTTCCATACCTTCCAGTGTCCATCGCTCCCCGGTCATTCCGGACGACACTCGTTTGATGTCATTTGGACTGCCAGCCCGTCCGAATGTGTTATTCTTAGGAGGACTCCCCACTCGAACCTCCACTCAGTTTACTAGTCGCAGTACACTGTTACTACTTACTAACTTAGTACTTAGTAACTAAGTTAACTAACGAGTCTAAGTTAACTAACTTCGTTCACTAGTTACTACAGTAGTAACTTAGTAAGTCTAGTAGCGCCCAAGTTTGGCTGACTCAGGGGGTTCCACCTGGAAGGGGTCCGCAGGCGGAATGTCAGATGTCAGTGCGAGCTGACTGGGTCGCCCGAAGCAAATCGCGATCGTCCATCATCCGGTGAGTCGGGGACTTCTACCGAGAGCACAGGGAACTGATTGGTCTGAGAGATCTTCCCATCTCGCGTAGCAGGGAGCGAGCATTCATGTGATTTGTCCTGGCGGAGAAGGTCGGTCCATCCATGCGTGCCCTGTCATCTGCATCGATCATTGATGGTCGACATCACCCAGTATCAAGGAACCAGTCGTCCATAAGTTGATGATGATTGTTATGTTCCGCCCTGTAGTGCCACAGAACGGGATGTAGCAAGTCGAGCGGGATCTCGGGCGGGGGTAATACTCCATCGGTTAAAAAAAAAAAACAAACCGCGCGCGAGAGCCAACGACAGCGCGATCCGTCATCAAATATTATCTCCGCCAAGGTTTGGCGCAAGAACCATGATCCATAATGCCGCTGTCAAAACGAGAACCAAAAGTTGTCTTGAGTCCTTCACTGTCAGATGGTGCTTAGTGAGAAGAGAAGAAAGGGTCAAAGGGGGGAAAGTTAATAAGGTCCAAAACCTTGAAATGTTCCCCAAGGGCTATGCCACATGACATATGGCAGAGGCTCAGGTATGTTGCATCCCGCGATCAAGCTGTAGATTGCATTTCAAGCCTTTTCGAGTCGAGTACGGAGGAGGCTCGCAGGAATACAGTAGTAGATAGCGGCCAGCGCTGCTCTCCTCTTTCATTGGCCTCTCGTGCATAGTCCTGGGATGTCCTCTCGGCAGCGCCAAACGGTCCTGCCGCGTCGACAGATCTCTTCTGCTTCCCCTCCCCGGTGATGTTGAAGGTATGTGGTTGTCTCATTGCAGGGCGGAGGGCTGGGGCATTCTGATCATCGGCCACGAGAGTGTTAATGTGAAGATCCAAGACTTATTTTTTTTTTTTCGGTCTTGCAACGGGATAGGGTCCATGCTCGGGCCAATCCCTCGAGATGGGAATAGCATCATGTCAATCATTGCCTCGCGCTCCATTGACCTGTGCCTCGAGTTGACGATCGCATGATTGGTCTCTCGAGGCGTGGAGCTGACACACTGCAGATGATCCAGCAGTATCCGGTAAGGACCGACTCGGGATACACGGCGCTACCGAGGTGACCTATGCGATACCTACAGGACGCTATACCGAGCTGGTCCAGGATGCTGCAGGAGCGGGCTTGGATGGCAGCACCGAATGGGAAATTGAAAGCGGACCCCCGAGCACGGGGCAACTGCGGCATTCCCACTCAGGATGCCCGGTCTTGATGTGTGGCTTGACCTAGAGAGGTTGGTGCAGCAGCAGAGAAAGTGCGAGAGAGATTAGTGACACCATTAGTGAGAGTGCTGTGAATGTGCACTGTGCAGTGGTACAGCAGCAGTACTCGTGGACTCCCCCTTCGCGTTCGTCTGTACTCGGTTCGCATTCAGCATTCAGCTGAGCTGGTCAGGAAAGTCTTCCAGGAAGTCACGAAACGGGTGGAACTCTCAGGTCACCAGCGGTGAAGAGACGGGCCGATAGGTAGATAGTAATCATAGTGTTGGGTCTTCGTGGTCGGATTGTCTCTCAGATGACTTGCTCAGGACAAGGGAACCGGGAAATCTTCAACATCCTCATCGGATGATCAGAGATCGTGAGGTCTCATCGTTCGTCTTCCCATTTTAGAACAACCCCCCCCCCCTCCTCTTCGGCGAGACGATGATTCGTTTTTCTCACTTCTTGGTGTCGATCGGAGCGGAGAGGTTGACTGGACTCGCTGGAGTGCTGGACAGTGGACCACTGGACACTGACAGTATAGCCCAAAGTGGAAACCTCGAAAGTGCAAAAGGCACCCCACCAAAAAGGCGCTAACGAGACTAAGGTCAGACCCGCTTTGGTACATGTACTGCGTGTTGGTCCGACGCTTTCTGAGTCGAGGAAATCGCTTCAGAATGCACCCGATGCGGCCTTTCTTTCTTTCCATTATTTGTGGTCGCTACTTTCTGCGCAGGACGTCGTCAGAAGATTGAAAACCCCTCCTATCCTTTAGCTCTACGGGAGCGAATGATCTCCTCGTGATCCTCCATCCCATTGAAACATGATCAGTTCATCAGACTCGTCAAAGTCGACGAGAGAGATACCACCCGACAACGGAGAAGTTGCGCCCCCTGCCAGGTAGCCTCAAACAATAGTGAGCGATCCCCACTGCAAAGGGCACACCACTGGTACCTGTTCGGCAGTCCAGCAGCCCCGTTAGGCCAACCGGAGGATCTGATAGACGCGAGGTCTGCCAGTGCGGCCACACGATAGGCTTGCCACTGGAATCCTCGGCGTAACTGCACGATAAAGGACAGGCCTATGATGCGGACTGGACGAGTCACGTTAATCGTGCTGGATGGGTGTATGCGCCAAAATCTGGTACGCAGCCAACGGTTACAGATAGTGAGGTCCACTGTCCACCTGTTGACCCGTGGAACCTCTTGTGTTCCTATCGCCTTGACATGAGTATTTGGTCTCATAGATTGCCGGGTGACCAATGTCTTGTGCTCGTGGGGATTTGATCTGAAGCGAAGACCACTACAATGATACAAATAAATGGGCACCGGAGGCACCCATCATCTCATGAGAACCTCTCGGTCGGCGGGTGGTGGTCGTGGTAAACAAACAATTGACTTCAATCCACCACATTAAATTGGGGAGGTGTGTACAACTACATTATACCGATCTCGGACGGGTTGACTCGGTGCTGGGCGGGGAATGGAAGCAGAGCCAACGGTGGAAGCCAAGCCACTGAAGCGACAGCATAGCGTTACACAAGGACATAAATGCTCGCGAAGCTGTTTCCTCGCGTCTATCTTGTGTCCAACTGTCCATAAGGAGTGGACTGCTGTAAGCAAATTTGTCTACTACCCTCTGGCGAGTCGACCATATTATAAAGCACGGTCCGATCACTACAAATTTTACACCGTACAGTGAATAGTAATACAGATCGTAAATCCTGCGCACTTTATCCAACTCTGCTCAAATGAACCCGGGTGTCTGCTCTTTTCAAGCCCGAGAAAACTCTCTAGTCGGCCGTCGGCCGCGGAAGAAAGTAGAGCGGGAAAAAAAAAAACACGAAAAAAGGGAAAACTCCAAACAAAAACGAAAAACGGAAAATGCGAGCCAAATAAAGTTAATCCCCAAATTGGACAAAAATGGACAAAATGGACAATTCAAATCTGGTAATTTGGGGGGCTCCAAACGGATATCATACTGTAGTCTGTAACCCCCTAATTAATCATTTTCCACACTCATCGTGAGCAGGACATACCTGACAGACCCGTCTGTCCCTTCCACCTCCGTCTTCCATTGCCCATCGATAATCGGATATCGTATGTATTTAGCGGTTACCCCGTGCCACCTCGTCTCTGCTGCTCTATCTCCCCTCCCCTCCCCACCCCCCCTAAACCATCACCTCACCTCACCTCCCTCCGCCTCCTCAGTCCTACCATCCTCCTCACTCACCGGGAGATTATCAACCTCACCAACGATCCCTTAGACTCGTGTGTCACATCGAGTCGCTACACTCCTTTGACCAAAAAAAAAAATAGGTACGCTGGGAGTTCCATTTTTTCTCGGCACGGTTCGTCAAACATCACCAGTCTTGTCGATCCTCAGCCGCGGCAGTCACGAAAAACAAATCCCCAGGACTCACCACTGACAGCACCTGGTTCCAGACGCGACTCACGCAAAACACTTTCCACTACACCCATTCCCACCTAGTCGAGCATCATGGTGGCTCCTGCCAGAAAGTTCTGCTGAGCGACCTACGTTCAGAGTTCTTCGGCACCTTTTCTTTTCGCTTGGTCGAATTACATGTCCATCATGGAGAAGCTGAATTCCGAAGATGGGCAGCTTTTCATCAAGGTAAGGCCGGCCTGCGGCAGCATATGAGACCTCGCGATGGACACTCTTCACTCAAGCCCTGGACATGAGGTTCTGTTACTGATATGCGCTCATTTCCCACAGAACCTAGCCAGCTTCGTTCGGACACACGAGAAAGCACTTGCAAACGCTTTGCAGCTCCGCCGCCAGTCTAAAAATGCCCTCACTCCCCCATCGCCAACCAGCGCCACGGGCGCCACTTCCTCATTCTCTTCAACCTCCCTCACCCTGGCGGCCGCCTTGTCATTCGGCGCATTGAAATTCACCTCCCAGGACATCAAGCCCGCCAAATTGACTCTCACTCCGCACCACCTCTTCTACCTGCTCTCCTGCTTCGAGGATTTGTCGATTGCGGTAGGTCCCATGAATGTTCGACTGGAAAACATCAATACGGAAGTCTCTCAATCCTACGTCTCCTTCCTGAACAAACCGCAGCGGTCCAAGGGCGATGGGGCATCGATTCATTCTGTTTCCAGCGTCCGCAGCGTCATGTCGGGTATGAGTGGCCTGTGGTCCTCATTCGGCCTTGGCTCCAAGGATTCTGTCTCCAAATCGGACAAGGCCAAGTCCGCTCTCGACGCCGACCTCAAGTACCTTTACTCCGCATTCACCAAGATTCCCTGCCTTCGCCTGGCACCGGACCATCGTGCCCGACTGATTCGAGGATATGAAGAATTCCCGTTCGATACGGCTGTGCCGCTGCATGCCTTCAAAAACCTGAGCGCTCTGGAAATTATCGACATTGACTATCGTTCTTTCTATGGCTGGGACCGCTTGGCGGAGCAGCTGCGCACCCTGACGATCAAGCGAGGTCATCTGGATGATCCCGCAGATCTGTTGACCCGCATTGTCTTGGACGATGTTGATAAGCGACGTCGTCGCTCGGCCAAGTCGCAACAGTCCCCGCCATTAGGCTGGACTGCCAGTATGGGCGGACCGCCGATGCCACCCTCGGATCAGACCTCGATCTCGGCGCCTGGCTCTCCTGTTGCTGAAAATGCACTTGCGAGCAGCACGAGTCCGAAATCCGTCCCCATGATGCGAGCTGGCTCCGAGGGTTCTCGCGTCCGTTATCGTGCAGACAGCGTCTCACCTACGCGGCCCTCGACAAAGCACAGTCATCGCCACAGCCGAGGCCAGTCTTCTCGGATCCGCCGCACCGGTTCGGGGAGCTCCAACTCGAGCGATACGTCTGGTGGCGCCAACTCGCATGCAGGCGTCCTTCCTCCGTCCAAATGGCGCTTCCTTCGCCATCTGGGGCTGCCTGACAACTCCCTGACCTCCATCTCGGCTGCTAGCCTTGCCCCCGTGGCCGGCACCCTGAACTCGCTCGATCTTTCTTCAAACCTTCTGACCGAGGTCCCCGATAGCTTGTCGACACTCATGGCTTTGCGCGCGCTCAACCTGTCTCATTGCATGATTGAATCGTTACATTCTCTGACGCGTAGTCCACTCCCCGCGATCACTGCCCTCAACTTACGGGGCAATCGGCTTCGCTCGCTCGCTGGAATTGAGCGACTGCTGTCCTTGGAACGCCTGGACCTACGTGACAACGACCTGATGGATCCCACCGAATTGGCGCGACTGACCAGTCTCCCTGAGATACGGGAGATCTGGGTCTCGGGGAATCCTTTTGTGAAGACTCATTCCAACTATCGAATCGTCATCATGAATCTGTTCCGTCGAACACCCGGCTACTCAGAGGACCTTGTCATTGACGGTCGTGGCCCCGGTTACACAGAGCGAAAGCAACTTGTTGATCGTGTTGCTGAGCCTGAGGGAGCTCCCATTGTCCGCTCCAGTGCTGCAGATCAGCCCGCAATTGTACAAAAGCCCCTTCACACTGCTTCGCCCATTGACCCCGTCCCATTGATGTCCCCAAAGCAGGGGCAGCACTCTCACGAGACCCCAATGCGCCAGGAAATCGAATCGGGTACCAACCGGCGCAAGAAGATGCAACGGCGTCGCATCGTCGACCTTTCCACCGACAGCCCCTTTGTCGCTGATGGTCTTGGGAATCCGGGCTCTGCAATCCCAGCCCCTCTTACTGTGCAGCAGATTGATGATCCTGCCGAGCGTACTGTTGTACCACCGTATGAGCACCAGCTACGTTTAGACAGTGGTACGCCCTCTGGTTCCTCCAGCATCCAAAGTCCTGTCAAACAAGCACCACCCCTGAGCCCTATCTCCAATACTCTGCCACTCAACGGCTCGGGCAAAGACTGGATCGTGGAACAGGAATTGTGTCGGCAGCAATTGGAAGCCCTGCGTCAGGATGTCGGCCATAGCTGGATTTCGGTCCTCGGAGATCATCCGTGGGATCATGTACAGAAGGAGCCTGGTCATCTCGTCCCCGGCTCAGGGCTGGATCATCCCGTCCTTTCGCCCCCGCCTCTTTGCGGGAATGGCCGTGCCATTCTGAGCGGAGGTCATGCACTGAGTGGCTGATTTGATATGTCCCTCGCTGTCGCCAGGGCTTTCGACAATACGTCTGTTCATCTGACTTTCATCCCTCTCCCCGATTCTCTCTTGTTTCCTGAGCCCTCGCACCTTCCTGTATGACGAACCCTCTTCGATACCTTGACCTCACGAATGCGCTGGTTCCACTCTCCTGGTGCGAGCTCTCAGCTCCCCCCTGCTTCTGCATTATTTCCGGCGTTGAATGACTTACGACAAACGGTGGGTTGGATGTATGAACAATTTATGGCCCGACGTTTTTCTCATGCCTCCTCCCCTCTCCTCTTTCTTTTTATCCCTTCTGGCAGGGCTCTGCACCTTTTATTTGACCCAGCTTGCATGCTGCTTTGACCGAGCTCTTAGTCCACGGACTGGACTGCTTTGGTCGCTTGATTCCCCAGCGTTCGCTTCTCTCGCCACTCGGCTCGCTCTGCCAGTTGCCCGCATGTTCACAAAATGTATCCGGCCTCTACTCTGGGCTCTTCTGGAGGCTCTTTTCCGATCAGTCGCATCCTGGACGGTATCTTGAAAAGACTATTCTTTTACTAGAGCGCGCTGTTCACAAGACGGGGGACTCGGATTGCACCCGATCCCCCTCCCCCCTTGACACCTTTTTGAATTCTTGATTTCGAAAATCGCGGGCGTTGGTGGCATGGGCCCAGATTCCCCTTCTTGTTTTTGGCTCGATCCAGCCACAGGCGTGTCTGTTGATGTTTTTTTTTTCTTCGTTTGGCGCGGCGGCCTCTTTATCTTGGCCGTTTTTACTTCGCCTTCCTCACTGATGATTACGGCTATCATGACTTCCTTAGCCACTTGGGAATAGAAACAAAAAATTTGCAACATCTCTGTCACGAAGCAAGTGAAGAAGCCCCCCCTCCCCATTACGTAGCCGGCCGATATGATATAACTTTGAGCGTGGCTACCAGACATGCAGCGGCCGGTCATCATCCCTGCACCATCTCTGCGACCCTGCCTACTGATCGAACATCACCCGTCGTCGGAAAAGGACCCGATGAGAGGTGTGTGTGCTTTCCGAGTCCCTTCGCATTGTTCGTTTGTATTTTGCGCGGGCGCTTAGAACGAACGACCCTCCGTCTCGCTTCTCCTCGTATGGTGCTGGGACCTCCACCAGGGCTGGGGTTTGCAAAGGTCTCGACCGACCGCGACTGCAGGAGCCCCTCTCGATGGTGACGCTGGCGGCGAAAGTCATGCTGACAGCGTGCAGGATGAAAAAGCTACCGAAGTCCGGATTGGCAGATAATCGGGCGAGGAGCTAGGTCTATGGGATACATTTGAGGCAATGCGCTGTGGAGCGAGGGAGAGAAGGAGCGAGAAAGAGAGAGAGAGAGAGACAAATCATGTTCGAGATGGGCTTCGATGGCTGCCGGATGCACTTGTTGAAGCTTTGTGCGCCGTGAACGATAGTAGTAGTAAAGTTACTACATTCCTCCATACTACATCTTACTCTTAGTACTGTAGGCGTGCGACGGAGAGTACTACTACTGTAAGTCAGTAGTATGTTTCTAAGGGACTTTGATGGAGTCACCGAATTTACTACCAGTTACTGTACAAGTGTATAGCAGGATGCTACTAATAGTACTGTGAGCACTGTTGAGGTCTCCACCCACTCGTCTTTCATGGTCTAGAGTCTGGACAGGTCAACGCATCTTCGACATCCAACTTTTAGTGACTGCCAGCGATGTGGATGCCAGGCCATGGGCGAGTAGAAGGCGCGTCCTCGGTCAGTGACTTTCGTACATGCGATTAGAACCCCCTTGGACTTACTTGCTGGGGATGGAGGAATAGCCATTCTTCAGGAGTGAGAATGGACTGCTAGTAGTGAGTTCTCCTGGAGCTGCTCAGAGTTTGGAGGCAGACTCCGTCGGTAGTAGTCCCGTCGTACTTACTACTTCTCACTGCGGCAGTGGTTCGTATCATCGTCGAGTACCAACAACCCTCGCCCGTGACACATTGCCGACCTGCAGAGCCCAACGTGATCCAGTGACCGAGTGACATAACCTCCAAACCGCCGTGTTCCGCGTCTTTCTATGCTCCCTTGCTCTTTGCTCGACCAGAGAAACCTTCTTTTTGTTCCTCCCACACTTGGTCTGGTCGAACACGAGCGGCGCCTCCGTCTGGCGAACACACTGAAGAAAGATCACCACGAGAAGCAGCAGATCGCAGACATCGCCATCTTTCTGTTCTCAAAATTTGGGTCGACAAGTCGTGTCGTAGTAGACGACGGCGCTCTTGGAAGTTGACTACATAGATTGTTGGTGTCGGTCCGGCAGCACGTTGCTGCAGCCCGCTTTTGTCTTTTGGCGTGTTTGGTCGACCGCCATCCCGGAAAACTTCGATCGCTCACTCGGCCTTCTCTCCCCCTCCTCCTCGTCACAGCTCGCTCCATTTCCATCCCCCCACCCAGCATCTGACCCAACTCTGCCAGACGCTTCAAAGCTCGTTCGTGATACTTGATCGCATCCACCGGCCCTGAGAAATCCATCTGAGTGCCCCTGATCCGCCCACTTTCCATCGGTCGGTCGCCAGGTTCCCGCAGGGTGTTCGCTCGTCAACATCTCCCCTCTCTCCCGTCCGGCATCCCTACCAGATCCTTTTCCTCTCCTCCACCCAACAACAACTTCTTTCGCCAACCTACCCCCGGCCATCAGCGCCTTCTCCGCCCGACACCTTTTGTATTCTATCTTCATCTCGCTGGAGTGACATTTGGTATGTTCTGATTCTTCTTATCATGGTCGCGTCGCTCCCTTGTCTTTTTTTCAACCTCCTTCTTGCCCTGGCCATTGTCCATCACACGATCTCGGTCAGCAAATCGCCCGGCCAAGGGCACAAAAAATTCGATCGGAGACGATGCGCCTGGCCCATCCTCTTCTGTTGTCCAGTTCACAATTCCAATACTACCTTACCATCCTGGTCCCCTCCGTGAAGATTCATCGTTGACTGACTGCCTTTTTTTCTTCTTCTCTCTTCTCACAGAAACATCTTTGCCGCGTCATCAATTCTTCGTCCGCCCTCGGAAGTCATCTTCTTCCCCTTGCGCGTGCTGCTCCCTTTTTTCTTTTTCTTTCCTTTTTTTTTATTTTTTTTTTTTGGTGTTCCCTGTTCCCTCATCTCTTCGCATCGACTCCGTCTTTGTGTTTTCTTCACCTCCCCCTCAGTCGCTAGAGACCGCCAACCATGGCCGATCAAGAAGTGGATCTGGATTCGATCATCGATCGCCTCTTGGAGGTGAGGGGCAGCCGTCCTGGCAAGCAGGTGCAGCTTTTGGAGTCGGAAATTCGTTTCCTCTGCACCAAGGCTCGTGAGATCTTCATTTCCCAGCCCATTCTGCTGGAGCTGGAAGCGCCCATTAAGGTACGTTCGCCCAGAGAGTTCTCAAGATCGCCATGCGCGCTCGTCCACGGGATGCTTCGGCATCGGAGAGGGGGGTCTTTTTCTTTTTTTTGTGAAAGGTTGACTTTTTCTAACGATTCGCCCTTCATCAATCACACAGATCTGCGGTGATATTCACGGCCAATACTATGATCTCCTTCGTCTGTTCGAGTACGGCGGCTTCCCTCCCGAGGCAAACTACCTGTTCCTTGGCGACTATGTCGACCGTGGCAAGCAGTCCCTGGAGACCATTTGCCTGCTCTTGGCCTACAAGATCAAGTATCCGGAGAACTTCTTCATCCTGCGCGGTAACCACGAGTGTGCCTCCATCAACCGTATCTACGGCTTCTACGACGAGTGCAAGCGCCGATACAACATCAAGCTGTGGAAGACGTTCACTGACTGCTTCAACTGCCTTCCCATTGCGGCTATCATTGACGAGAAGATCTTCACCATGCACGGTGGTCTGAGCCCTGACTTGAACTCCATGGAGCAAATTCGCCGCGTGATGCGTCCAACTGATGTAAGTTGCTGTCCTCCTGCGCTTGTTCACTCATCCATCATCGGGGCTGTCTGCCACTGATCCTACGATGGCGATGTACCTGTACATGCACCACATGGAATCACAGACGACGCGTTGTGGAACGCGAGATCGTGTCCCGGTCGACTACGACTTCTGGTCACATGGAGCGACTGACTTTAGATGCAATAGATCCCCGACTGTGGTCTTCTTTGCGACCTCTTGTGGTCTGACCCGGACAAGGACATCACGGGGTGGAGCGAGAATGACCGCGGTGTCTCTTTCACATTCGGGCCCGATGTGGTATCACGCTTCCTGCAGAAACACGACATGGACTTGATATGCCGCGCGCATCAAGTGGTGGAGGATGGATACGAGTTCTTCTCAAAGCGCCAGCTGGTCACACTGTTCAGTGCGCCCAACTACTGTGGTGAATTCGATAACGCCGGTGCGATGATGAGCGTCGACGAGTCTTTGCTCTGCTCGTTCCAGGTGAGTTGATTGCTATCTGAATCTTTACCCCATCGCCTTTGTTCCCCCTTCAAAGTTCAAAGCGGTTGGGGACTGGATGGATGCCTCTGCTCGATAAATTGTATCCGCATATCTAACTCATTCCTCGCTCTTCGATTCGCAGATCCTAAAACCGGCCGAAAAGAAACAAAAGTACGTTTACGGTGGCATGAGCTCCGGCGGATCAATGACCCCTCCGCGCAAGCAAAAGAAGAAGTAAAGACCAAAAGAATCAATACGAGCTTTCCCATGTTACAGCAGGTTCGGGCGGAGATAAGCCATCTTCTCATTTTGCGACAACCCCTCCAATTTTCCAATGATCGCCTATCGTCCAAAATCAGCATGGTTCCTCGCCGAAGCCATCCACCAAATCCGCTGTTCATGTCCAAGCCATGTCCTACGCCTCTTCCTCTAGCCTCCGCAGCGACGTTCCCAATCTTTCCGCTCATAATCACTCTCCACGAAGCGATAAACGACCGAGGAACGTTCTCTTATCAAACGCCCGGGTTCAGCCCACATCTCTGCCACAATTCTATCCGTTGCCTCGTCTATGAATCATCGCTTTCTCGACTATCTCGATAATCCCTCCTCACCTATCTCACTTAACGATCCCCAGTTGTGGGGCTGGCCCGGCGTGCGATATGACCCATTTTCTCGTGTGCGTTCTCTCTCAAATGGCATCTCTTCTGGCCGGCTCCGGATCACGCGATAAACATACATACACATGTACTGCATCACCTCTTGGATGGATGATGCTTTCGCGTTGCGAATCCCCCATACTCACGGTTTTTCCCCCCCCTTTTCTACGAATTCTACTTTTTTTCCTTTCCTCGAACTCTTGCAGATCGCCCAAGGTGACTTTATCTCCTCCCCTGTTATTGTCGATCATTTCTGCACTCATCATGAGCAATGAAAAGCCCTGGCATATGCACGTGGCGAAGAGGTCTAGGAATTCAGGTCTATCTCAAACACACTTTTTCTTTTCCTTTTCTGTTTTTCCCTCTCCATATCTCCCTTGGGCTTTCTGTTATCTTTGATTTATCGGTCGTGTTGGTCCTCTTGTTGTCCCCTGCAGTTTTCAATGAATTGCATATGTTCGTTTATGACCTATGTGTCAATCTCGGGGGAAGTCCAGTAGTCGATGTGTAGTCTCGCGGAAGTTCTCCCGTCGACTATGGCCCGTATTCTGCCAAACGCTTCGTAGCATACAGTTCTGTGCCGACATAGGTCGCAGTGAGCTCACAGCGCTGTTCTAGTCCATTTCGTATGATCCCATATCTCGCCGACGTGTAGTCAGATCCAGGTGGATATCCTCGGTCGTGAAGGATCCGGTGAGTGACTCCCGTCACTACAAGTCACTCACACTTTTCTATCTTTAAAGGGACGCGGCATAGTCGATCCTATTGAATTCTCGGCGGACGAAACGTTTCTTCAAAAGATAACTTGGAAAGATGGGTTGATCGATGGGTGTGAAGCGATTCTATCTCTTGTTGTAAAGCATCAATGTGATTATATCATCGGCATAATGGGGGCTAAAAAAAAGACTTGTAGATAACACTTGGGGGCTTGACAACACGTGAGTGGGAACCAGAAGAAAGAGAGCGCGAGTAATTGCACAAGATAGATGTCGGAGAGGAGGGAGATTCGGCAGTCAAAAGCCAAGGGGGGGGTATGGTAGGGGGTTTCCAATGATTGGTTTCTATTTCTCCCTTTTCTATACGCCAGTCGGGCCGGAGACTTGACAGTTGGCGGAGAAGCTGAACTTTCTTGCCCAGTGTTGCCGATGCACCATGTGAATGGTTGGCATCATTGCTGACGGGATCCGGGAAAAGTGGTTCATTGAATTAAGTGTGGAAGTGAGAGTGTTTGGGGACGAGTGCGGAATTGCCAAGCCAGGGAGAGCCGTACCGAGTCGACGAAGTTGAGGGCATCTTGGTAATGAGCGCGGACAATGTGGCTGTGTAAGGGAATCGATTCAAGCAACTCCTGGCGCGGATCATTTTGACTGGTCTCGTGACGGCTTTAGACATATTGAGACAGCCAGCGGATACCCTCGCCGTATCCTGCATGGTAGAATCAATGATTAGCATATAACTTAGTGCAACTGGGAAACATGATGCGGGCTTCATGCTGAAACCGAAAGGGGGAAATCTCACCCTGTCGCATCACAACACTGCACATGAACAGCTCAATGGGCCGGATACCCTCGAGAGGAACCTTGCCCTTGCCGGTGGTCTGATACAGACCGAGCTGGTGTCGCAGCTCATCCTCCGATACGGCGTCGGGATGATCGATCTTGTTTCCGAGAACGAGGAAAGGAACCTTGGCGAGGTCCTCCATGGCGAGGAGAGCATCGAGCTCAGCCTTGGACTCGGGGAAACGCTCGTAGTCCTTGGCATCGACAAGGAACACAATGCCGCTGACCTCGGGGAAGTAATCCTTCCACAAACGACGGGCTAGAGAAGGGGAAAGACAAGCTCATTGTTAATCACGTGGCTCTTTTCCATTTCGTCTTCACGGGGCGTCGCAATCTCACCCTGCTGGTGACCACCAAGATCGAAGGTGGTGAAGCGGTTGTTGCCAATGGCCAACTCTTCAGAGGTAGGGTGGGCAGTGGGCGATAGCACAGCCACACGGTCATTCTATTGAAGCACAATGCTTCATGTTAGCCTGAGTGTGAAACGGCAGACCATTTCGTGTCCATCTATTTCTTCTTCGTAAAATCCCAGTCTCTTCCAATTGCCCCCAAAGATCCATCCTCCTGCCTCAAAAATGACTGCGGGAAGCTTCACCATGGCTGGGTCGTAGACTGCAGGATAATGCTTCGTGATCCCCTTGGCTCCTCGCTCGCAAAACATCCTCATCTTTCAACGCCCGATATCCACTCAGAACTCACCTTCAGCATGTGCAGCAGGGTGGTCTTGCCGGCATTGTCGAGACCGAGGAAAAGAAGCTTGGCGTGCTTGTTCAGGAGGCCAAGCGAAGCCAGAATATCGTAGACTGTTTCGAGCGAAAGAGAAGAAGAGCAGTTGATCAGCTAGAGCACTCTTACCAACAAACGAGACTAGGCAGGTATCCAAGGTCCCGCAACGGATTCTGCCCAGCCAGAACCATGGCTTGAGTACTTGGGGCTCGCGACACGAGCTTGCTTCCCAGATCCGCGCATGTCACCGCAAGATGGGCAGAGCTTGCCCGTTTACGGGCGACTCCATTGTTTTGGGTCTCTCTCCGGAGCGGGCTGACGGAATGGGCCAGATTATGGGACTCGGACGGATGACTTACACCAGTTGACGATCCACATGACGGAGGTAATGCTCTTTGGTGAAAAGGTCGTTGAAGCAGTCAATACCTAGGTGAGAGGCAGGCGTCGAGCGGTTGAAGAGGCGGGGGAGAAAAAGAGGCAAGGTCGACAGGACAGGTTGGTGTTGGGGCTCGGGACCAACCAGAGGCTAGGGTGCCTGAGGCCCCAAGGAGTCGATAGTGGCGTACTTGACGACATGGGCAGTCACCTCGATCTCGGATTACAAAGTCATTTGTTTACTTCCAAGGCAACGTTTCCTATTGCATTATGCATGCGAGCTGAAGTCATTTTGCTATTGCGCTTCTTTGAGCCAAAAATATACTCTGAATGGAGCAGCTAATTGTATGAGTTTCAAAAGATGCATTTTTTAAAGAATGCATTCGCAAACTCTCAACTCTGATAATGCGAGCAAAAGCGCCAGGACTTAAGGATCAACGACATCGTTCGACGATAGAGGAAGTCTTCAACCGATGATGTAGCAAATGTAGTCCAAAGGGTATTCGCACCAAAACTATGCAAAAGCAAATAGGAAAAGCAACCTCCGGTGCAAAAGGGTGGAAGCAATAAGTGTTTTCACTAGAAGGTGTATAAGGGCGAAGAATTGAAGGAAGAGGGTGAGGAAGTAAGACTAAAAGGGGATAGGGGATGTAAAAATCAATTTGTTCTTGTCCCAGCAAAGGAATAGAAGTGGGTATCGTGGGAAAGGAAACTAAGTGGGTAGCTGTTGGCTGTTGCGAACAATCCTCGGAAGAAACCAGTTTCAACCCGATAAGGAAGGCTGCGGTCAAACGGCCAGTTGTGAAGCGATTTAAAATGAGGTATGTGACAATGGAAGGTACCCCAAGAGAATTGTGGGGAGGGTTGTGAGTCTCACTCAGAGGGAAGAATAGAAATGGTGTAGGTATTTGAGCAATATGCACAAAGCGAGGGAGAAGCTTTTCAGAGGATGGAGTCATAGAGCGGGCAAGCTTCTGGCGATAGGAGACGCCCATGGGCAGGTCACGAAAATGTCGACGCAGACTAGACCGAAAGAACAAGTTGAGTGTCTTGGGCGACGCCGTAAGCTCGGCATCTCTCAGCAACTTCGAGACCAAGTTCCTTCATCCTCTCGGCTCCTTTTCCAGGAATAGGTCGCCGGCTCAGTTGTTCTTTGGCAGCTTTACGACAGTGCTGACGCCAGTACTTCTCCTTGCGTTTCTGGCGCTTCTGTTCAAGCCCCTCGACAATGTCGATAGGTCCACGTGTGTGGAGCTCGCGTGGGCGCGAGCGCTCAAGCTCAGGAGATTCAGACAAGACGGCAATGCTGTGCCACGGACGTGACTGCTCGAGGCGAGTGAAGAAAGGGTTGGGCGTACGTGGAAGAGACTTGGTGCGTGCCAAGTGAGGACGCTGAACCAAGTGACTGATGTTGAGCCCTTGGGGAGAAGACGATTCGAGGACAGGCATCTCATCGGAGGAGTCTGTACGCTTGCAAGGCGATGGCGATTTGGCACGGCAGGCACGGGATCGTGGCGGAGGAGACTTGAGGCGCTTGGGAGATGTTCGACCCGCACGACGAGGTGGAGGGGACATCATCCGCTTCGGCGAGTGTCGGGGCGAAGGTTTGCGAGAGGAATCCTCTGTGCGCCCACGAGAAGGCTCGAGCACGAAGAGATCATATTCGCCATGCGAGACGTCTTCCAGATCCTCGTCGTCATCGTCATCTTCAGGATCGCTCGTGGGAAAGCTGGGGTCGATGTCCTGAGGAATCAAGATCTGTTTTGAAAGTCGTCTTTGCTCCAAGCAGGACTTGTACGCAGCCTCCATTGGGCGATCCTCGTCAAGGGTACCACAGACAAAGTCAGTGCCATCTGGTAGGGTTGGAGTCCCAGGTCGCATGATTTTACGCGCCTTGGACGTACGATGGCTGGTCTTTCGGACAGGGGCAGGCAACCACTTCGGATGATGATTGTCAGTCAATGAGTCGATAGACGTGTTCGAGGCACGACGTTCCATAGTCGGAGGGAAACAATCAAGAGGCTGGCTGCTGATCTCGGGCATGATGGCTGATGGTGCCCAAAATTGATACTCCGAGCCACCATCATCGCTGTCATCAGAGTCGGCGAACCCTGCCTCATTATCAGATTCGTTCCCGTCGTCGTCAAAATAGTGCACAGTCGAGTCGTCATCGGCCAGTGCTTCGGTGTCTTCTCCGTCGTCGTCGTCATCATCATCCTCTTCATCTTCATCTTCGTCATCCTCGTCCTCGTCATCCTCATCATCCTCTTCGTCTAGGGCCTCCTGCTCAGCCTCTTGTCCGAGCTGGCGGATTGCAATCTCCTTCTTCATACAATCGTTGAGGGTAATCTTCTGGGGAGGATAGTCGGTTGACTTGGTCACCCACTCATCGTCCTCTTCGACCGAGCTGGCAAACTCATGGAACCGGGTAGCTTCAGACTCTTCAAACTTACCCAGCCCTCTTGGAGTCACAGCCTGAGGATGCATCGTGGTGACGGCCTTGTTCTCCTTTTCAGGCTGTCGGTCGATCTGAGGTTGAGGCTTCTGCTCCGGAGCAGGCTTACGAGCGACGGGGGCAGGAGAACCACGGCAGCGGGGTCGGAATGAAAGCTTCTGAGTCTGCGATCGCTCACGGGCAGGCGAGGACTTGTACTCGGCGCAGGCGAAGGTGAGAGTGGTCTTCCGCTTCGGAGGCTCGGGTGTCTCCTGATTTGACTGGGACGGTATGTTGGTTGGCGAGGTCGACTTTTGCGGATGGGTAGTCTTGCCTTGGCGACCGCAGGCGAAACTGATGCATCGCTTGCGACCCAGATTGGCTTCAACGGTGGGTTCGTCGCCACTGGCGATGGTGATCCTGGTGCTAGTATTTCTCTTGCCATTCATAGGTGCGGTGTTTCCCATCATCTGCGGTGGCAAGGGCGGGCTTGGGGTATTAGACAGGGACGGGCTGGTCAAGCCACCATCGCTGGTGAGCTCCGCGGTTGATATTCCACTGATGTTGCTGTGAGGGTAAGAACGATAGGTGTAGGCGGATTCATGGAAGGTTGAGTATCGCTCCGTAGGGGAGGTTTCCGGGCTACTCTTGAGGGCGCGAGTGAGAAGCGATGTGGCTTCCTTAGGATGCGACATCGATGGCTGCACGGTGGCTGATTGATTGTTATAATTCGGGGATGCGTCGGCCGGCATGGGACGCGGTTCAGGCGGTTCATCCATATCTTCGACCAAATCCGCATCGCCGTGCGCAGGCATCGAGGGATTGGGCGCCACCAGCATCTTGATCAAGTTGTGAAACGAAAAGGGAGTATCCCCACGGGGTTGTGCCATTTGAAAATTGGGTCAAGTCCAACTTGGGAAATTCTGAATCGAAAGTTGACAGTCGTGGCGAGAATGGAAGATGATGATCCAATGTCAAAAAGTCAACCGTTAGTTCAGCGGCAATGCTCTCTCGATACTGATGGAATTGACCAGTATCGAACAACCCAGAGGGCAGAGCTAGAGTCCCCAAGAAGGACAACGGCTATGATATGGAAGGGATCATCTTCAAATCAGGACCAAGTTGCACAATCAAGGAGAATGGGGCCAGTCGCCAAGAGCGATAATTGTCTCTCAGAATAGCCACTTCACTCGAACCGCCACACGAGAGCCTCTCTGCCTTCAGTGCCAAGCCTTCCAACAGGGACAGGGCCTCTGAGATGCAGTAGAGGTGTGCCGTTGGGAGACAAGAGGGCAGCGGCGATGACTCGAACGAGACGATGTTATATGGAGTGGAGAGGGAGAATTTGTAAAAGAGGATGAGGAGCAGGATGAGAGAAAGAGGGTATAGATACAGTGGTACTAGTAGTAGGTCGCCCTCGAAGTACTACTAGTCACGGACGTAGCTGGTCATCAGAGGGGCATTTTGGTGGGAGGCCTGTCAAGGACGGTAATCAATTACTGGACAAATGGACATTGCCAAACCTGAGTGAAACGGTATATAACGGCCCTGGTGGAGTGTTCCAGTACCTGAGTCCATTATGGGTGACATGGGACATTTGAAAGTTCCTCCCTGACGGTGGCCGTCATGGCTATCCGGGATAAACCATACAGTGACCATACCGGGCGCATCGGCTTGGCCGCATCAGGACTGGTCCCACGCAAAAATGGACCCGGGAGGACTAAATGAGGGAAAGAAAAATCTTTTCTCAAGCCAGAATTTTCCGATTAATTTCTTTTTTCCCCATTGATTTCACACACTTTCTCATTTTTTCCGGAGCCCCACTCGGAAATACAGTTAGTAACTTAGTAGTACTACTACTGAGTCAGGGAGTACACCCATTCGCAACCCCATCCTCTTCTCTGTGAGATTAGCACTAGTCCTATTCAGGAGGCCCTGCAATGCACTTCTCATGCACGCCCCCACACCCCATCCACTGGCTTGAATTAGCAGTGACTTGCTGCACCATGCAGGGATAGTCTGCATCTCGCGAGTTGTGGATTCTCTATGGGGGAAAATGAACGGTTCCTGCGCCCTACAAATTTCATCTGAGGCTTGGGTATGTATTTGGCTGATGCTCTGGGAGGATGTAGTGATGTACTGTCTGCCAGGCCCAGTTCCAACAACATGCTTTGTCTTTGATTCGGATCTACGCTAACCGGGCGCTCTCCTGAATACCTTTGTTTCGGTGGGTGAACGGTCTTGAACTTGTATCCGTCGATAAACTCTAGACGAATAATTGAATCGTCGTGAGTAGCCGGTTTATTATTGCAGTGCCATGCCGGGTTTGTGCCATTCGAGGGGATCTAAGTTTCATTTACTAATTCTTACCATGATTCAAACGGGTCGGGTGGAGCGATGTGTTAATAAACCGTCGCTTTGCAGTGGTATGGAGCAGCCTGAGGCACATAAGCCACTGGACTAACCTCCTTCGGTGCGATGATCGTGTGTGTGAATGGGGAATTGCTGCCGCTGGACTATGAGGCATTTACTGCGCCGTGCGAACCCGGCTATGCCCTTTCCAGGCACAATATTGGCTCTAAGTTCCCTCACCCACAAAAAATAGCAGGGCTCGGTTGGAAAATACGATCAATTTCCTCAGGTAAAAAGACATTGATTCCCATGACCGACAAAATCTGGTAATATCGTATAAATACCCTCATAATACATAATCACATACAGTATAGTATGTAGACCGGTGATTCAGGAACTAGCACCCTGGACTTTTCGAGTAATGATTGAATCTTCGGTACCGCTTTGAGCAGATGCCAGACCGAACATCGAGAATTAACATCTGGAAAGTGGAAACACGTAGTTGCTGAACACTTCACCATGGGAACATTCTGTGATCCCGAGGGATCTCTACAGAATAACATTGCACGGTAGATGCCACGATCGATCAGGATTGTTGTCCCGCATTCCAACGACCACGTTGTTCGCACTGAAATCACCGTCCGCGAGGAATGTCCCTTTTGTCCAGAGGTGGGACACCCAGCCATGAGAATTCCGCAGGAGAATTTCTTCGTAGGGGTTTGGCATCTGGCAAAGCCACGAGGGACGGCCGTACCCGTACCGTCATCCGACGTCACTTCAATCCACCACGGTGCCGATCTGCGGTATTGTTCCGTAATCATCCCGTCCTGGGCAGGCTGGGCTCGGTAAGCTGCCCCCAAAACGGATAGGGTGTTCTGTACCTGAACTCTTCTGGCAAGTTGCAACATCGCCAGTTTTCCTGGTTGACGACGTGAGACCTGACTGCCAGTCTGCCAGACTGGCAGTGCGAGAGAGATGGTGGATCGTCAACCCTAGCCCTCTGGATGCAGTGGAACTGTTCCACACCGACCACCTCACCAAGCACCGAGTTCACCGGGCTTTTCTCCACCGCAAAAGTCATCTTTATTTCAATGTTCAGGTTTTGGTGCAGTCATCAGACTCAGAGGGCCTGTACGAAGAGTAAGAGGTACTTGCCTATGAGAAAGGTACATCCTCATCATCAAGTCCTTCCGAGACCTTACTGCGCCTAAGATACCATCCCTGATGCTTTCTGGCAACTCGATGGGCACGATAGAATTTCTTATGCATTGGTATAAACTTAAATCACGTAAACCCAGGACGGGGGATCGGATTGGAGCCGTGACTGTAAACGCGCTCTGCGCGCTTCGAGCTGCAACGCGACGTACATAGTGGACAACCTAAGGACACCCTAGTTTACGTATTCCATGCGGTCATCGATGCAGGGTCGACGCGAAGATAGTGTTACTGCCAAAGACTCAAAGGATGTGCCATAATAGGTACCATAGATGCTGTCCTTGTAGCAACCGTCATACCCTAATCAAGCGTAAGGTCGCTCTTACTCACTTTGGCACTGCGTGCCGCGTGGTGATGATGACTTGTACTGTAGAGTGTAGACTTGTCATGAGATTGATACCGTCTTCCTGCCCGAAGCGGATACCCTCTGACGTAAGTTACACCCGGTGGCCCGTCTCCTCGCGGTGAATGACAATTTGAAGCACGAGGTCAAAAATGGGGATGGCTTGGTCGGTGAGGTCGTTTCTCTCGAGACGAGATAAACCAGATAATTCTTTCCCAACTTGCGAGGCCCGGATCGGGTGTTCGGTGTGATTTTGCGCTGTGACCGACTCGAGACAGACGATGCGAAACAGGAGGTGAGATTTAAAACGTACTGTACTCCTGATCTAAGATACATAAAGTAGCCCTTCCATTGAGTCCAACTAGTACTCAACCAAGCTGATAGATGATAATACACGTCCTATTGAGCGCAAAGTCAACCGTGGCATATTCCATTGTAAATGTCCACCCGAGTAGCAATGCCTGTACAACCAACAATTGCAGAAAATCTACGGAAGATTCTCCTGTGTTCGGAACCTAACTGGTCGTCCAATATCAAAAGTGAGTATGTGTTCCCTCGTCCGAACGACACGGATATGATCACTTAGATACAAGCGGCTTCGAGTTTGATGAGTTTCAGCACAACAGTGGTCCAGGATCAACCTTGAACACCATGATCGTCCCGGTCATGCACTTCATTTCTTGGCGTTCTTCTTTCTGTTCTGTGCAGCACGACCAGATCAAGACTTGAAGTCAACAAAAACAGGTACACGTCCGGGCGTTGGCCCCCAATCGATCTGCGAAGATCGTCGATGCATCTTGATCTATATTGATAATACCGAATGATCCGAGTTCATCGGGACACATGGCAGGTAGCCTTGCAAGTACCGTATAGACTTAGACTATGAAGTATAGAGAATACCGTTAAACACTGTTACACACTCGGATATGTGGTTCCCTATCTTGCATTCCAGTTTGGCAAATGCAAAACCATGCCAAGCATGGCGGCAACTACTCTTACTGTGATCTCTTGAACCTCATTCCTCATTTCAGCCCAATGGACGGCAGATGAGCGGCTTGTATTCTTCTTCAATCAACGAGTTCACATCAGCTATTGGCTCCTGCGGGCAGCATTCAGGTGATCGAGCACTCTCCCCCAAAGTGCGTCGTCATCCACCACGGCCAAGTCTTCGCGACGCCTCGTGCCGTGCAGAGATCGCGAAACGAACAGGTTCAATGTGATCCTGGCTGATCCACCCGCCGGTCGCGTCGCGGGGTCAAGATCTAAAGTTGCCCCGTTTTTCAATCCTTTTGGAGGCATTGTGGGCTCCAAATCAACCACGGCATCCCTAGCCGGACAACAGGCATTCCTGATCGGATCACGCCCTGTTTGCCGGAGGGTTGTGGTTGTCCATAACACGCGGCGCAGGTGGAGCGGATGTGAGCTTGGATCTAATGACTACTGCCTTGTTCTCTTTTTCTTTTTTTCTTTTTTCACCGTCTCTTGGTCTCTCGGGTATCGTCTCAACACAAGGTCGACGAGCCAGGCAAACGCTGGATCATGGCGCCCAAGTTGAGTCACTCGGCGCCTCGCTCAGAGAATTGGATCACTCGACTGCCCACCAATCGTCAGATCTCACAACGAGATGACCGGCCGATGAGGGACACGCCCACTGGGGCGCCGAAGGAGCGGTCAGCCGCCGGGCGGACTGCGCTCGTATGTATTTGCAACGAGGAAGTGATTCTGTCAATTGGGCAGCTAGCACGGAGGAAATCACATGCAAACCGAATAGGAAGTATGGGAGGATGATTACGTTGACGGACACGAAGCTGAAGCATGTGGCATGAGATGAAGAACCCAAGAACGACATATGATGTGGACTTGGTCAACAATAATGTGGCGCTCGATCTTGGTTCCTTGCAAGCTTCGAATGCACCAAGCGTGAACTAA